GAAACAATTGATTCCCTAAAGCAAACAAGGATGCAAGGTTGTTTTTAAAGAAGGTTCTCTCTCAATTCTTTTGTGCTCACACATAGATTTTGAGTCACTCTTTTCTTCTCACATTTAGGTTCACTCACCTCCCATGGTCATTATTCTTTTGGCTTTGTAACTAGTGACCAATTTTGATTTTGCCTCTTTCTCAGCTTTTTCTTTTTTTGCTTTCTTACCTCCTCACAATTTATCATTTGATCTTATCATTTGATCTTTAGGGGTTGGAAGTGTGACATTCTTTGCTGGTCGTTCTTTCTCCTTGTCAGGTTTGTCATCTCTTGCTTTTTCAGAGAAGATGGAGTAGAAGAAGAGGAATGATTTGAAGGATTACCTTGGTAAGAGGATGAAGTACATTGGTAATGTTCTCTGAATCGGAATCTCCTTTGGATTTGTGCTTCAATTGTCATTGATTTTTTTAGTGTATCTTCAAGGTTTTGTACCCATGGAGGTCAAGAATATCAGTGATGTTTGAGTTCAAGTCGACGACGAATCTTGACATGGTGACCTCTTTTTTTTTTATGTTAGCCCTATTGAGTAAGGACTGCATCTCCTTGTAGTAGTCTTCAATTGAACTTCTACCTTGTCGAAGTCGGTGTAGTCGTAGTTAACTTCTCGTGTATAATGTGTCAGTAGGAATCGCTTCCTCATGGTTTGTTTGAGTTCGATCCAAGAAGTGATTGTTGCATCCACCAAGTTGAGCATATCCTTCGAATTGCATGGTGATGAGGGGAACTGTTTAGCTTGGGGGTAGTCATGGTATGCAAACATGAGATCAACTTTTCCTTCCCAATCGATCTACCTGTCCGGATCGTTGTCTCCTTTGAAAGACGGGATCGTGAACTTTGGTTTTGTAAAGAGTTCGGGTGCTTGGAAACGTGGTTGTTCTCGCCTGGATACCAAAAGTTCAGCATTGTTTGGTATTGGATTCTGGTTTAGTAGATCTAGTTGTGGTTCTTGTCGTTCTCTCAGTCTCACAGTTTCATCAAATCTTTCAACTTGAGTCGTGAGTCGGGCAAGTGCGGCTAAGATAGCCGTAAGTGTCTTGTTGTTATTGTCGTACATCCTGAAATCATAACACTCAAAAGAAAATTTTAAAGTAAAATAAAAAAAAAGAAAGAAAATTCAACAAAGCAAGAAACCTCACAAGTCACTCCAAGAAAGTAACACAATGAGAGGCAAGTAAGCTGATCTTGTACTCTTTAAAACTCACTTTACCAAGTAGTCTTCCACAGTTCGTATCGGAGTTTGATTACTAGAAAAGGCGATAAGAAAAACTTAAAAGCTCTAAGAGGTCAAACAAAGGATAGACTCCAAGAGAATGAGAATGCAAAGAAGAAAGAAGTATGCAAACTCTTTAGTCCTACTAACACAGGGAAGATAATGTGTTAGATAATGAAAAAGAACAATAAAAAGGAAAAACAAAAAAACCTAAAGTACTAAGAGTCAAAGAAAAGAAGAACAAAACTAGAAAACCTAGAAATCGCTGGATCAACTTGAGCAACGTTTTTGAGGGGGTGACCGGTGTCCAAATATTTTGGAAAAATTCTTGAATGTCTTTCGATGTGTCAAGAAACCACCTGTAAAATTTCAAAACCAAATACCTTCAGTAGTATCCAGTAGACTCTCTTGAACGGTGAGTTCTCAAACAATCTATTTTTTGTGATCGCTTTGTTTGAAAGTATTCTTGATCTCAAAAAATTATGATTTTTTGTGTGAATGATCTTGAACATATGAAGTTTCAATCTGGAAATTTTCACCATGAAATTACTCCTGTAGAATTTTCAAGAAATTCGACAAGATTCTAGACCGAATCTGCCCGATGAAACTTGAATGATGTATTTGAAGGCTCTAATGAACTTCTATTGGGATGAAATTTGGACAGGAGATTAATCTTAGAATGAATATGATATCTGGAGAATATCAACCCTAAATTCTTTCGTTTGTAATTTTTCAATTTTGCGACTTTTTTTTGGCTTTTTGATTTTTTTGGCCTTTGATTTTTTTGGCCTTTTTCTTTTTTGAAAAAATAGCAAACTAACAAGAATGATTTGAATTTAAATTAAAATTAAATAAAAAAAACCTAAAACGATGAATCTTTTGTGAACTAGCTCCGTTGGGGTACCTAGATGGTTTTGTGTGCAAGAACAAGCAAGATTGCTTGCTTCTTTCCATGAATCGGCCCAAATCTGATACCAATTGATAGGGAAGTGGTGGAGGGTTAATGAACGTTGCTCTTGTTGAAGAATCAAACCTAGAAAGCTCTAGACTCGATGAAGAACAATGGGGAATGATTAGGGGAAGGTGACGACAACAAGTAGGGTTCTTTCTTTTAGGTGCTAGAAACAAGATAAACAAAATATAAAGAAATTGAAAATAAAGTAAGATAACCAAGAAATCAAAAGATTCTCCTTTATGAAGGTGAACGGTAAAGATGATTGATGGCACTAAAATAAAATTGAGTTTTAGCAGCGTTTTTTGTCCTATAGAGGCGTTTTTAAGCGCCACTAAAAGTATTTGCGGCGATAGGAAAAACGTTGCAAGAAGCGCCGGCAATACCTGCGCCGCTAAAGTTAACGGCGTTTGAGAACAAAAAGCACCGCAATAGGTTAAGATCTATAGCGGCGTTTTTTGAAACAAACGCCGCAAAAGGTCGATATATATAGTGGCATTTTTGGAACAAACGCCGCAAAAGGTCGATATCTATAGCGGCGTTTTTAGAACAAACTCCGCAAAAGGTCGATATCTATAGCGGCGTTTTTGGAACAAACGCCGCAAAAGGTCATATTTATAACGTCATTTTTGAAACAAACGTCGCAAAAGGTCATATCTTTAGCGGCGTTTTTAGAACAAACACCGCAAAAGGTCAAATCTATAGCGGCGTTTTTGTAACAAACACCGCAAAAGGTCAGATCTATAGCGGCGTTTTTATAACAAACGCCGCAAAAGGTCATATCTATAGCGGCGTTTTTTTTATACAAACGCCGCTAATTACCTTTCTTTAGCTAAGATGATTTTGCATATTTCATTTTTACTCTAAATCACCTAAATTTAATAACATCTAGCTTTATCTAATTAACAACAAACATACATTTTAATAAAGACACAAGTTATGTAGAAATACTTAACAACAAAATAAATTAAAATTTATAAATATTAAAAATAAATGTATTGTAGTTTTACATTTTAGCTTAGGTAATTCACTCTCCCAAAGAGAAAGTATGCATTTGAAACAGAAGATTTGGCAACTATATCAACATACTATATAAAATCAGTTATGAATGATTCCTATACACGGCTGAAGAGCTAAACAATCATGCTTTCGGAAAACACTTGAAGACAAAGATCATGCATGTTGGTAATAGATTACCAGGCGAGTACTCCAGTAGCACCAAGGAGCAAAAAAATTGGCGACCAAAATTGGATAGCTGTAAGAAAAACCATTCAAAACAAGTAAATAGAGGTATCACCAAGAGTGGCATTTAACAAAGAAAGCACCAAAGCTGGGAACATAACATATAAATTAAGTGGTTTGCAATCTTTGCATTCAACTTACTCATTTGCAATTTTGTTAAAGTTATCACTATTCAGTGGTATGGAACCCTAAACAACTTCATCATCAACTTCCTTTTCATGCTAAATGACTTGTGGAATCGGTTCTGAACGATACTTAGCACCCGTGAGCCTTAAATCTGGATCTATAGTAAACTTTCGAATTGTTTTTGTTATATTCAACCTGTTCTGTTAACAGAATGCACAAAATTAGTCATCTGGACCAGAGTTCACATGTTAAAAGGCCACCAAGAAAATACACACAGACAACTTGAAGAATGAGTAAGAGTACAAATATTGACAGGAAAATATTAACCCATGCAATTATTGTAAGAACAAATGCTTCAGTGATAGAAAAACCCAGGGTTGAAACAGATTATCGAAATCAACCATAGAAATGTCCTAGCAAGTGAAACTACCCGTAGGTTAAGAATGTCAAACAAATACTTCAAGAGGTAAAAACCCTCCACCTAGAAATTTTTCAGAATTCATTCTCCTAAAACGAGTTACATACAAACATAATACAAGTTCATGGAAATATACAAATATTGTGAATGAAATGAATCAATGTTCACATGTCAAAAGTAAAAACTGACCAAAAAGAAGCTAAATTGCAGCAAACTTAATCTAAGTAGCAGAGAATGGATAAAGAGAAAAACCTTCTTTTTCATTCGACAACTTAGTTGACCTCTTGTAACCAAAGAGTTAACCTCATCGATCGGCTCAGCTTCAGTCCAATCAGGAGGAGCGATCCATCATAAAAAAGGTGAATGTTAAAGACAAATCAACATATTTCATGAGGCATCAAATGAATTTCAATATCAGCAATAGCATAAAACAAACAACTGAAGTCAAGAATCGAAAGACTTACTCAATGGCTAAAGCTAATTGCTTGATAACAGATGTTGGAGGAAAACTTTTGGTGTCCACGGTATTTAAAATGTCTACAGAGGGAATTGCTTCTAAAGCCTGTATGACAACAATCTCATTAAGAAATCCCTTCATTTGAATTTTATTAGAACATGAAATAGACATTTTAAATCTCATTACAACAACTCTCACTTGCAGGTGAGCAAAAATAAATATAATCATAAATATACCTTTGATTCCGTATCGTTCTTTACTTTTAAAAAGTATAAGTTTTCATCATAGAATGCAACAGCCGTGGTTGAATTTTCAACTTTCTCTGAATCTTCAACTCCTTTTCTCCCTAACCATATATTCTTGAATCTTTCCTGCCATTCTTGCTCGGTCCCCAAAATTGCAGGCATCCATTTTGAATGCTTTGCCATACTAAGTACTCGGCAGAATGTTGAAGCATAGTTTGGTAGCTGGAAAAGTGAAGGGAAACTAAATAGCATACAAATTGCAAATCCTCCAATTCGAGTCCAAGCAAAAACTAACTAAACTCTACGACTTTTTTACTCAAATAAGTCAAACATACTTCTAAACTTTACTTCATTTTCTCAGCAGCCAAAAACGGTTCCAAGAATCGTCTAAAGATAGAAATAATAATAACGAAAACAGTCTAATCCTACATTTTAGCTTAAAAAGAAAGCCACATTTCAGTTCCAAAGTTCAACAAAAAATTACCTTAGAATCGTCTTCTCTCGTCGGAGATTGATTTTTGAATTCATTCGGATATGATAATTCACAATCTTCACCAAACGAACAACAACCAAACAAGATAAAAAAAAATCTATGTCACTAATATCTAATAACAATATCATAAAGACCGGAAAATGATAAAAGGAATCTAAAAATAGCAAAGCATAAAAATAATAACAATAAAATTTTGCAATAGATATTTAAAACCAAAAATATAGAGTTCAAATTTACCTAGATATGATTTCAAATCAGTAAGAACTCTTTCGGCTTTGGCAGCTGCGGAGTGGAGAGCGATTCTTGCTCTGGAGACAAACGACGGAGCTTCCATATCGTGCACCGTCGGTGCGCACTTTACGATTAGGAGCGGTAAGAAGAAGAAAAGTGAAATATGGAGATAATTTGTTATAATGGAAATGGATCAAAACGGTGTATTCCTTATATATATATATATATATATATATATATATATATATATTCAGATAGAGAACACAGAGGAGAGAAAACACAAAATATTTCGGAAACTTTCGATCGAAAAATGAGAAAAGAGATTTGGTTTCGCGAGAGAGCGTTGACTATGGGAACATGGGAGAAACTGAGATGAAGAACTCTTCGGCAACTAGCAGCAGATGGGTTTGGGTAAACGGCGAGAATGAAAACATAGATGAAGGGGAAAAATGAAAAAGGGTTAAAGGGGTGAGACTTAGAAATTTAAAACTTGCGGCGTTTGTAAATTGAAAAGCCACTAATGTACTACTAATGTACTGATAAATTACGACATTTATTCAAAAAATGCCACTATAGTATGAGTATTTAGCGGCGTTTGTTGGAAAACGCCACTAAAGTATGGGTATTTAGCGGCGTTTTTTTGCTTAAAACGCCATTAAAGTATTATGTTTTAGCGGCGTTTGTTGAAAAATGCCACTAAAGTACATGGTTTTAGCGGCGTTTGTCTAAAAACGCCACGATATATGTACCCTATTGCGGCGTTTGTTTAAAAACACCACTAAAGAACGACTATATGACGGCATTTGTTTACAAATGCCACTAAAGTACTGATATTTAGCGGCGTTTGTCAAATAAACGCCACTAAAGTACTTATATTTAGCGGCGTTTGTCAAATAAACACCACTAAAGTATGAGTTTTAGTGGCGCTTGTTGAGAAACGCCGTTAATGTTATAAATTTAGTGGCGTTTTGGATATAAACGCTGCAATATGTACAAATTTAGTGACGTTTTCTTTGAAAATGCCGCGACAAACACCGCTATAAACGCCGTTATATACCTGTTTTGCTGTAGTGTGGTGTGGATGAATATGTGGAAAATCGATGGATAACCTATCGAGCCCTCCTAGTCGCAATGAAAAGGCAAGGACGATAATATGACTCTAACCAATCCTCCTAGTCGCAATAAAAAGGAAAATTGAAGTGTGAAGATTAATCTCCCTCACATGAACTTGAAAGAACTCCAGGAGGAGAAGTTTCGAAGGCACAAGGCAATCAGCACTTGCAAAAACGAACTCTCGTTGTATTATTAATCAAATAAATCTGAATTACAAAGTTGAATGAAACCTCCTTTATATAGGGGCTGAATTCTAAAGGTCTTAAATAATTAATGAGTAAAATAATAACAAACTAAACCATGTATTGACTCTAATTCCTAATAAAATAATAATAATTAAAGTTAATGTTTTAACGCAGCCTTAATTCCTAATAAAATAATAAATCTAATCCTAAAAGATAATGCATCATCCTATATTAAATTATATTACAAATAATCAATATAAATATTTAAATTCGTAATATTTACAAAACCACGTATTAATCTCGAATAGGAATTTCTGCATGCGCTGTCTTCACTAAAACGAACGTATCTTGAGTTCCTGATATCGGATTGATGCGATTCAAGAATCGTTAGAAAGATAAGAGACAGACAGTTGTATATACAGAAGACATGTTGACCAAATAAGATCAGGATCCCATTTAAAAAGTCGTCGCAAGTCTACTACTATTCTGATATTCTTTTCCAAGGCTTGGACAAGTGGATCATTTGGAAGAGTTATTACTTCTTCTTTTGATGTGAGCCTTGCGATGCATGTATCAATTATTGTTTGGTGTCTTACATGTATATGTTGGTAGTTTTCCCCCTAACGGAGGATGACATTATTCATCAATGAAAAATGCATGGTTTTCAGAATCGGACCAACGAACCGGCCATGCTACCGGTTCACTGGTTCAACCGGTCGAACCGGTCCGACCGGTCGGAAGAACCGTACGACGTCATAATTATTTAAAAATTAAATAAAAATACCAAAAGTATTTAATAAAAAATAATTTTTTATATCACAAGTCATATTCAAAGCAAGTCATAACATATATAAGTTAAAAATCATAAAATCAAGTGAAACAAAATGATTCAAATTAACTTCAACATAATATTTAAGGTAAACCATATTAAATATTAAATATAATTATATAACTATAATTAAAAAATAAATTTGGGGCTAAAAAAATCATAACAAAATGATATTGTTTGGTTTATTTTTTTTCAAACAATACTACATGGCTAAGAAACATAGAAGAGCATCCCAAAAGTCTAAAGAGTAAAAATATGAGAACAAAACAATCCCACATGGCTAAGAAACATAGATGAACATCTCAACTAACTTCTATAAATAATAGAGGTAATTTGGCATTCAAAATCATGGAGATTTTTGGTGAGCATTGAGTGAATTATTCTTTCACTTCAATCAAGCTCAAATTTTAGGCTTCAATCAAGCTTCTAAATTTTTTTTGAGTTCAAGCCTTTTCGAGTTCAAGTTTCAATATTATATTTCAAGTTCGAGTTGAACTTGATAATTTTTAGCTCGTGAGTTTGAGTCGAGTTGAACTTATTTTAAAGTTTTCAAGTTCGAGTCGAGCCCAGTAATATTTGAGTTCTACTTGGCTCGTTTAACAAACGATGTTGTTTGGTTTAATTTAAAAAAAAAAATTGGCGGTTTTTTATGGGTTTTCTCAGTTTTTTCCGGTTTTCATTCGGTCTGATTCGAACGGTTCAACGGTTCTGGCCGGTTCACTAGTAGCGGTTCAACCGGTGTAAATTAAATCGGACTAGACAATAATTCCCGATTAAGTCCTGTCCAATTTTTAAAATACTGTGAAAAACGTTAAAAAGACATATCATAAGTACACTATGAAAAAACACAAATCCAACTTTTATGTAAATCTGTGGACCTATTGTAGGGGTCAGGTTTGTTTGGCATCTATGCCCCTGCCCTCCAAACAGTATGGGAGCCTTTCGTACTGCTCACACTCCTAGATCTTCACGGCACCTCCTCCACCATAGTGTGAGCTGCTCCCAGCTCCAAAAAGCGAGGCCTAATAAAAATTCTCTTTCAACAACACCACAAAAAAAAAAAAGTAAACTGGGAATTATTATTTTATAAAAAAAAACTAAAAAACAAGGTTTGGAACCCTACTCCCCAACAACTACAAGGATGCTTGCTTGCTGGCATCAAAGCCCTTCATTATTATTAGTAAGATGGGGTGGAGGGCGCACAGCCCATTCTATGCTCCTTTCCTGAGCGTTTCACACTAAGCTCTTCAATCCTGCCTTTTGCCTCTCTAGCGCAGTAGTGTTCACTGGATGAGCTACTGAAATCTTCTCTTCCAAGAAAGAAGCACAACCTGGTTGATAGCTTGTGGCCTAGCAAATACCCTAACATAACATTAGTGTTTACCGGATAAACTAATTAGCTTTGTATTCTTAAAAAGCTGAGTGCCTTTTTTTTATACTGCAGATGGCGGATCAGAGAATGGATGAATAATCTAATAAAAACTTTAATGAAGCGATTTCGATGGGGCTTTATGCTTGCTGGTTTTATAGCACTGGCCATGGCAGCAATAAGCAGGAATCTCGAGAACAGTCAAAACTACTGGATTTGGCACAGGTTTGGATTTGTGCATCCTTTTTGTTTTATAAATCTTCTGGCCTCTCCCTTTCTCTACGCACACACGCACACGCACATGTATATTTATCATATTTGATTGTAAAGCTTTGATGCAGTGTCTGGCATGTCACCATATACACATCTTCTTTCTTCTTCATCTGTTCAAAAGTAAATACCATAAACAGCGGGAACGAGATAGCCAGCAGATGGAAACTATCAGTTAACTCGCCAAGATTCTCTGTCGAGATGTTCTTAGGAAGAGGGAAGACTGGAGATAGAGAATGAAGTGAAATAGAAAGGAATAAAGTACTGTCAAGACATGCGGGATAATTTCCATCTGCCACAGTAATTTGTACAACCAAATGAAAGACCACCTCTTCAATAGCTTTCTTGAAAAATTTCCCTCTCTACCTTTGATTTTATGTTAGAAGTACCTTTGAAATTATTTCCTTGTTGTATATATATACACACACATGATTGTATACCACCACTAGTCCGGGGAAAGAACTAAGGCAGGATAAGAAAAAATGTTTCGAAGTGATTGAGAGGTAATTAATGATGGATTGAGGGTGCTGCCGGTACGGTTGCACTCTTAAAATTTTTAAATTTCATATAATTTTATTTTTTAGTAACGTAATTTTACAACCTTAAATTTTAATATAAGTTTCAAAGGTACTTCTAACATAAAATCACTTGTTGATCCCTGAAAATAAGAATCACAAGTGACATGCAAATGTGTTGTCCACACCTATTTTTCCCTTTTTTATTATCACTTGACCTGGACTCCATTGGGCATATTCATTATCAACTTCCTACCATGCATGTGCCTTGCGTTATACAATACATAAATAACTTGACAGATGAATGAAAAAAAGAAGTGGTGGTTTTATTGTAAGCTGTGGGTCTGAATATATTTAAATGTAACAGTCTTCTATCTAAAGGTAAAAAAAATTCATGTCAATAAATAATGGAATGCTCAATCTATTGTTATATGATAAGAGATTAATCTAAAATAAATTTATAGAAGAAAAACATGGACAATATTCTCTTGTAATAATTTTCCAGATAAAAGGAAAGTCAAATTGTATCTTCGATACCCCCAAACCCAATACTTGCAGTTGACTTCCAAACAAGAAAACAATAGTCTATTTTCTTGACGCATCAAAGTGGAGAAGAAAATTCCTACATGATTCAGTGCCTTGGAGGGCACGTCATAATCGAAATAAATTATTCCCTCTTAAAACAATGGTGGTTGGTTAGGTTAGGTAATCAATATCAAAATTTGGATAACTTATTCCATCGTTAAACTCAAACCCATTTGTTTTCCTTGTAATCAAATATAAAAAAGATTTTATGGATCTGAAAATAAATTAATTAATCTTATATTGCCTTGAATATATATATACATATTATATAATGCTGAAGATTGCAGAAGCAGAAGCAGAAACCCACCAATTCGCTGAGGTCGATACGCGTTTGACTTTCTTCTAACGTTGCAGGATAAATGGCAGGTTATCAGAATCAGAGGCATAATGGGCAATCTTTCTAACAAAGGAGCCATTTAAAGGCCCAGATAGAGTCAAACTTATATAGATAAGATAGATTCTCAAGGTTAATTATAGGCTTAAATACAAAAGGTGTTCAACGTATGTATTGATTCCAGTTTTAGTGTTTAATGTTTATTTCGTTATACTTTGTATAATTTCAGTCGTAACTCAAATTGGGTCAGGCCGTGACGGACCGTTAATTTTGGTCGTTAAGTGACACGTGTTACAACCTGATAATTTTAAATTTTTTATTTAAAATTAAAAAGATATATATATATTAAAAAGAAAATACAAATTTTGAAAAATTCCAAAACTTTAAAAACCTCCATTTCAACCACTAAACCACGTTGGCCATCACCTTTTGCCGTCGACGAAGCTCCACCCGACCTCTCCTCCCCTCGACGACCAAAACTCCCATGAAATTGTGACTGATCAACGGTTGATCGACTGTCGAATCGCTTGGGATCGCGATTTTCATCCTAGGGTTTACGATGTATAAAACGTTGATTCGTCATCGATCCGTCGTATATCGATCACGATTTTATGGGAGTGTTGGTCGTCGAGGGGAGGTGGGTGGAGCTTCGGCAACGGCAAAAGGCGGTAGTCGGCGTAGGTTTAGGGGTGATATGAAGGTTATCAAAGTTTTGTGTTATTTCAAAATTTGTGTTTTTTTAATATATAATATATATATATATTATTTTTTAATTTTAAATATTTTTTTAATTACCAAGTTGTGAACATGTGTCACTTAACGTCGTTGACGGTCCAAACACTTAAATGAGTAACAGAATGAAACGTTAGGCATCAAAGCGAAACGAAAAAAAATGTTAGGCACTAAACTGAAACCAAAAGCATACGTTGAACACCTTTTGTATATTTAAGCATTAATTATAATCAGTGATAGATCTAAAGATTTTGAAGTGTGATTATATATATTAACAATAAATTTTTATAAGATCGATACAAATAAATTTTAGAGTGTACACAATTAATAAAATAAATAAATAATCGAAGAAAATTTAGATTTCGAGAGCATGTCTTCTCCAACATTTTTATAAATCTATCACTGATTACAATAGATATATCCAAACTATAATTGAATTTTTTAAAACTATTAACTATTTTATTATAAATATGGGATGAATAAATAATATCTATTCAATATAACTCTAAACTTTGGAAAGGGACATGATATCTAACATATGTTATGCTCGAATCCGATACCTCTAATGATAAAAACAAGTCTTTTAACCATTAAGACGATTTGATTCGTACGAATTAATTTTGTTCTTAAAATAATTGTATCTTTCACATAAATAATTTGAATGTAACATATTAAATAAAAGAAAGTGATTATTATAGCAGCATCTTTTTAAATATAATTCAATTAAATTTTGATGAAGTCTTAAATTTAAATTGTCATTAAAGATCTAAATTAATAGATAATATAATTGGTAAAATGTTCGTACTTTAAGATTCAAATAGGGTGGCTAAAATTCAAATATCAATTAAGGTTGGTGTGAGAATGGTAGATACGGTATAACCCTAAAATTATATGTTAATTGAATCTAGTAGGAATGGGGCGAAGGTATGAAAAAGCAAAGAAGAATGATGAAAAGAGGCACGCAGCAGTTGCTTGCATGGAGCGTTGGTAGTAATTGTTGGTGGTGGATTTGCTCACTAACCAAATCCCAACCAATCCCACATGACTTTACCCATTTTCATTTAAGACTCCTCCTTCCCTAATCATTCTAGGTTTGATTATTTTCCTCTAATATCTTCATTTCCATCTCCTGTCTTGTATTTTCTTTTCCATTTGACAGTCTTTATCTGTCTGTCTTAGTTCCTCAACTAAACTCATTAAATTCTCTTGCTTGAATTTAAGACCCTGTTGCTTTCCTTTTCTTCTGAATCTTTAAGGAGTTTCAACAACCTCTCAGCGTATTTATGGTGGTGCATCTCATGGTTAGAGAGAGAGAAGAAGAAGAAATGATGCAATTCAAGGGAACAGTCTGTCTCTAATAATTGCTTCTCTTTATAATTTCACCTATAAATCCCTTTCTATACCCCCATTTTGCTTATCCCCTTCTTCTTCTCCATTTTTTTTACATTCGTAAAAGCTGCATTTTTTTCTTTTATCTGGTTTAGGGTTGTCTTTCCACTTTGCCCCATTTTGAGGGAAGTAGTCTTTTAAAAACTTTCTCCGGAAAAGAAAGAACGAAAGTTTGTTTCTCTAGAAATTCCTTTGGGAGGGGGTTTGTTTGTTTTAGTTGTGATTATGGATGTATCGACTGCTCTGCTACTTTTGGCGGCTATCACAGCTACCTACTGTGGTTCACGTTCATCTCACGGTCTCTGCGTGGTCCACGTGTCTGGCCTCTATTGGGCAGTCTTCCTGGCTTGATTGAGAACTGTGACCGCTTGCATGACTGGATCTCCGACAACTCCGTGCCTGCGGCGGCACGTACCAGACCTGCATTTGTGCCATCCCGTTCTTGGCCAAGAAACAAGGTCTCGTGACGGTCACGTGCGATCCGAAGAATTTGGAGCACATCCTCAGGACCCGGTTCGACAATTACCCTAAAGGTCCTACGTGGCAAGCCGTGTTCCATGATCTGCTCGGTCAAGGCATCTTCAACTCCGACGGTGACACGTGGCTGTTCAGAGGAGGACCGCCGCCCTGGAATTCACCACCAGGACTCTTAAACAAGCCATGGCTCGGTGGGTGAGTAGAGCCATCAAGTTCCGGTTCTGCCCGATCCTCCAGGAAGCTCAAAACAAGAGTGAACCCGTCGATCTACAAGACGTGTTGCTCCGGCTCACCTTTGATAACATTTGTGGTTTAGCTTTCGGAAAGGACCCGCAAACATGCGCCAACAGCTCCCCGAGAACAGCTTCGCTTCGGCTTTTGACCGAGCCACCGAAGCCTCCCTTCAACGGTTTATTTTGCCCGAGGTTTTGTGGAAGATCAAGAAATCGCTTCGGCTTGGATTAGAAGCCAGCCTGAGCCGAAGCGTTCTGCACATAAACAACTATTTATCCGACGTCATCGTTACACGTAAGCAAGAACTGCTGAGTCAGGAAAAAGATCGGAATCCACACGACGACTTGCTTCCAGATTCATGAGGAAAAAGAATCATACTCGGACGAGTTTCTCCAACAAGTGGCGCTCAATTTCGTTCTAGCTGGAGTGACACGTCATCCGTTGCTCTTTGTTGGTTTTTTTGGCTCATCACTCAACATCCAACCGTTGAAGACAAATCCTACGTGAAATCAGCGCCGTCTTGATCGAAACACGTGGCATTGACACATTAACTTGGCTTGATGAACCTTTGGGGTTCGAAGAACTTGATCGGTTGATATTTGAAGGCTGCATTGTCGGAAACCTTGAGGCTATACCCGTCAGTGCCGCAGGATTCAAAGCATGTGATGGATGACGACATGTTTCCGGATGGAACATTTGTTCCGTCGGGGTCATCGGTGACGTACTCGATATACTCGGTAGGAGAATGAGGTCGATATGGGGTGACGATTGCCTCGAATTCCGCCCGAAAGGTGGTTAACAGCGGACGAAAAGGAGTTTATCACGCATGACTCGTACAAATTCGTGGCATTCAATGCGGGACCAAGAATATGTTTGGGCAAAGGTTTGGCTTATCTTCAAATGAAGTCAGTTGCGCGGCGGCGTGTTGAGGCATAAGCTGACGGTGGCGCCTGGGCATAAGGTGGAGCAGAAGATTCGTTGACTTGTTTATGAAATATGGGCTTAAAATAAACGTGCATGGGAGAGATTTGGGAGACATTGTTGAAAGATTATGAGTGAAGAGAAATTGCATGGTAAAGGCAACGGCGAATGATGGTTTTCAGGGCGGCGAGTGAGGGTGGAAAACAGAGTTCAATTCTACTTAAAAGTGGGGGCCATGCTGACATGTAGGTTACTTCATAACCTTAGCATATTCTTTATAACCCTTTATTTTTTTTCCGAAATACTTATAAGCCTTCCAACAATTTAATAATTCTTGTTTTCTTTTCTTTCTTTTGTGCGGGTTATTCTATAACATTCTTTTATCATCTTCTTTCGTTTGTGTATATTTCTGCACTTCTTTCTAATATTATTAAAAAAAAGTGAATTATTGACATGTTATCACTAATTTATATATGGTGTATTATATCAAATATTTATCTTTAGATTAGTATCATATCTTATTATGTATAATAATATATTTTTTTCAAGATATTGCATAATTTTCTATCATAATTTTCTGCAGCTATTATATTATATGGTCTTGTTTTCATTTAACCGTGGGCGATGGAATTAGCTGTTTGTAGGCCAAACAGGCCCCCAGATGTTCACTTGAACTATGTCAAAAAAAATCCTCATTTTTTGGACAAAAAAGTTAGGTTTTTTATTATAAAAATCAGAAATAGATTGAGAGAATAATTGGGGATAATTGTTCCCTAAAAAATTGAAATTATTATATATTTTTAATGACAATATATCTTTGTCCCTTGAAATTTTAGAAGTTCGGCTTCAAATATAAATTCTAATGTTTATTCCCCGTGGAAATCCAAAGGCATTAAGGAAAATAAAATCAAAATATTTCATTGAATACATGTTTCATCTTTCAAATTGAAAAATCTAACAACTATCAATAATTTCATCATCTTATTGAATCTAGACATAATATTAATGTAGGTATAGAATTTGAGAGAGACCATCTGATAGATTACTTCAGGAATGATTTTGAAGATGCTTGGAATGAATACAATATGAAATGTTAAATTATCAAAATAATAAACAAAACACAAATTATTTTATAAAGATAAATAAAACTAAATATTTCAAGAATATGCAAAACGAATATATACATATGGAGTACAAAATTATAGATTGAAATGATTAAATCATAGTAGAAGTTAAAGCCCATAAACATACAGGTGCTTTCATCAAATTGGCCTTTCTTAAAATCAATAAAAGCCACTTACAGTCGATCCTCGAAGACACTTCGAAAACCTTCCACAAACCAAGCGAGAAACCAAATTTGACGATAAAGAAGATATGAATCCTCAAGCCGACAAGATAGTGAGGAGGATCACCACGGTGGCTACCGTTACTGCTTCGTATTTCCTCTTAACCGACGATTATGGCCCTGAATCTAATGTTCTTGATCCAGTAAGTATCTCTGCTCCTTTCAATGTTTTGGTTTCAATCGCCGATCTTGGGGTTTCAATGTTTATCTTCAGCTGAATAGAGGATGAGTTATATTACTTTCCTGGGGTTTTCATCAATTTCATGCATATGTTCTACATTCATAGTTAGCTGTGGAGAATCACAATAATGACGATGAATTTCGACATGAGATGTGAAGTTATGAACTTTAAATTTCATTCATTTTCTTAAAAGAAAATGAAATAACTAAAACTGAAATATTGAGGGTTTGGATTTTAGCTTGAAGAATTTAACCAGTTATGGGTTGGATAGGACAGAAACTACTTTATTGAGAGTAAATGCAGAAACAAAGAAAAGGACTTGGACACTGGAAAGGAGTTTGTATGATTTTTTGGAACTGGAAAGTGATTTGTTATGATTTATGTTGCAATGCATTGCAAATTAGGGAGTCTGATAATATATTAATTGTCGATGACATCCCACGAATCATGAAGCGATACTGTCTCCCATAGAGTAGTACTTCTGAGTTTCGAAAGCAGGTTAACTGTTTGTAAAATGTTGGCTGCTAATATCTTGCGAATTTAAATTGTTGGTCTAGTGGTTTATGATCTCATGTACATAAGCTGCACTAGGCTTCCTAAGTTTCAATATGCTGTAACTTCAAGCTTTTATGTGGACTTAAACTCTTATTTTTCTATGATTCCATAGAGCCCGCACCCGTTTATATTTCCTTATTTTCATAAAATTGTCCAAATTTTCTACTTTGGTGGGCATAAATTTCACTTTGCTTGTATATTCTGTGGGGTAGCATGCTGATGTTGGATCGGCTTTAGCTTGTTAAGTTTTGGAAGTAGAATGCTATAATTACATATAATGCTTGATCTTTACATTCTTTGTTTGGGGATTTGGCCAATGTTGTGATGTGTTATGTGCCGTATCATTATTTGTGAAGTTGGTTCTAGTATTTGGTTTTGTTTCCATTCGGTTGCAATTTCTTGATGATATTCAATTGCAGATTAAGAACACGATACTATCAGCACAAAGTTCTGTGAAAGAGTTCATTATTGGATCAAGGAAAGAACACCAAGAAGTTCGCTGACTTCCAACAGTGCGAAAGAACACCTGTAGGATAAATTGAAACAGTTGTGAGAGGATCTATTGAATAAGGCTTTTATGGTCTTAACATTGAGGCATGCCTGCAAAATGTATATGAATGAGATCAATCTTCCTTGCCCCTTTTGAGATTTTAACAGGGAAGTTTGGATGTGTAGTAAGTGTGTACTTTGTCCCTTCCTCAATTTTTCTTTCCTTCTCGTCCTTTACTAGTATTATTTATCCAACGGGGGAGGTGTAGGTTTCTTCTTTTTGTTTATTACTTCAATACATTTGATACATGAACTAGACTAGGACATGTATTTCATACTTCATAAAAAAAGGTTTCATATTATTAGTGATACATATAAATATATATAAAGTGGGTTGCTGGGAGGGTATAGCAGGGATTAGGTGAGTCTCGAAAGTCGAGACACTCATGGGTGATGGGGGTGAAGATGGTTTTGAGCTTTGTACTTTAGCGTGTTGCAGTGCAGGGGGTTTTGAGTTGATTTTCAATTGATTGATATCTAAGCTTAGAAAATCTTATGCCAGTTATGGAAAAATTAATAAACAAAAAGTTTAGATATTTTGATTTATTAATCAGAACTTTTAATAAAACACGTACCGGAATCAAGGTCCAACAAATTTTGATTTTATTGATTTTTTATCTGAAATAAGCCAATATTGGTCTTACCACATCTCCACTTGCTTGGTTGAATTAGCCTTTCTTTCGAGAAAGTCTTATAGCTCTGGGGGCTCATAAGTTGTAGGCGTGGCGCATGGGGCTGCATCTCTAGGAGACATCACCAACGATTCTTCCTTGAACTTCCTCCACGTACCGGTTTCCTGACAAGCCATCGTTTCCGAACATAGCTCAACATAGCTCAACGGCTGCCGCAGGGATAGTCGGTTTGAATTTCAAGAGCTTGGCATACTCGTTTAGCAAATGAAATATGTAATAAACATTGTCTATCTTTTAAAATAATAATATGAGATTGACTTATCGCAAGTATTCCTTAATCAGAAATAATTAAATAATTGCATTCACCTTTGTCTCACTACTGAAACTTTAGTGTGATACTCTTTTACTCAAGAAATTTGCCTTTCACTTTGAGTCACTAGAATCACAAGATTAGTCATAATTTGTACGACATCACATATATAATACCATTTTAAAACTGTATGTTAGAATTCTACTAACATAATCTAATTCCGAAAAATAAATTTATAAAATACAATCGATACTAAATCATATTTCCATCATAATTTCAAACTTTCCAAATATCATTCGATTCCATAAATATTATTTTCATCATCAACACTTCAACTTTTACCAACTTGCATTCAAGTTACTAATTATGAATTTTTTTAGAATTCATATCAACTTTCCATTTGATTCATAATGATCCTTCACCATTATAATCGCCTTTAATTAATTACTAAAATTTTCAGCAAACAAATACATGCTCAACTCAGTACTTTAACAATTGGAAAACTTGCAATTTCATCTAAATTTTCTTAGCTTTTTCGAACTCAATCATCAACTTTAGCAAACTTGCCATTTGATCCCAATCAAATATTTAAACTTAAAATTCAGTACGCTATAAATAATTTCCAGCATTGATATCTCATACTCAAATAGTGCTTCACATTGAAAAACTTGCAATGAAGTCCTTGAATTTCAAGACCTTCGAATTCCATTACAATTGTAAGAATTACACTTTAATCCTCAAATCAACACTTTAACTTAAAATCAGCATTCCAAACTTACCCATAATTATACATTTCAACTTAAGTCACTAACTTTTCCCATAATTGCAATTTAATCCTCAACTTACTAACTTTACAAATTGTCCAATTTCACATTGAAACACCAATTCAACATTCTACATTAATTCCAGCATGGCACAACAACTATTGAACAATTACACATCAATTCCATAAAATTTTCATAATTGTTAAATAGATCCCTTAACTTTCACAAAATTACAAATTGGTCCAAATAACTTTCTAAAGCTTGTAGGATCTTCCAAACATCATTTCTAAGCCTAGGATTTTTTCATAATTTCCCCCAATTATTTCCTTAAGGCCTAATGCTATAGGGTAGGGTTTGTTGATTTTCACTTGATTCAACATGCATTCCATTCTAATCAACATTTCAAAGCTTCTACTATTAAACCCCTACCATAATTTAATAAAATCACAAACTTCCCAAAACCTAGATCATGGTCAAACCTTATACATGACTTTATACTTAATTTTAATCATCACACATGCTTTAGAATTAATCTACACATCAATAACATAATAATCTTCCATTAAATCTTCAAAACAACATGTCTGTCATAAACCCTAATTTCCAATCTAATCATACAAGATGTTCTCCATGTAATTTTATACCAAAAATGATAGAGAATTTCATGTAGATAAATTCTCTATTTAAGAGCTTAATCCAAAATCAACCTGGAAGCTTAAAATGGAATTGAAAATCTTTCTTACTTTTGCTATGAACCACGACTTGAAGCTTGAAGAAGACAATAATTTTCTTGAATTTCAACTTAATTATCAAAACACATGACTTAATAATATAA